AGACCCAGCCAGGTCCGAACCTGGGACAGAACCAGATGGGACTTCCTCCAGTTCACCAGGAACCCGAACCTGGTGAGCTGGGAAAGAACCATATCCCTGGGGAGCAGATAAACTGACCGACTGGGAACCCACACCAGCCAGTCGTCGACGTAGGGCAAAACCCGAATCCCTAGAAGACGCAGACGGGTCACCACAATCCGGGTCAGATGCGTGAAAATGCGAGGTGCCGGATTGAAGCCAAAAGGTAGGCATTGGAAACGGTAAGCGTGACGCCCCACCACGAAACCTAACCAGTCCCTGAAACCCGGATGAATAGGAACGTGCCAATAGGTGTCCTTGAGGTCCAGGGACACCATCCAGGCACCCGGCTCCAACAGAAGCCGGACCCGAGACGGAGTAGTCATCCGAAAGGAGGGGCAAGGAATCCAGGGGTTCAGACGAGACAAGTCCAGAATGAACCTCAGATCCGCACAGTCCCGTTTCGGCACTGGAAACAGACGGGAAACCCACCTGAGGGATGTAGTCGTTTCGACCATGCCCAAGTGCACCCACTCCAAGACGACTTGACGAAGTGCAGGAGAAGAAACCTGCCCTGTTAGCCCTAAACCACCCCAAAGGAGGAAGAGTCGCCCAACGCCACCGCAGGCCAGATGACACGATCGAAAAGGCCCACAAATAATGGAATCAAGCATGGGCAAACAGAGCGAGCCTCCCTCCCCATCGCCCTGTCAATGGGGCGAACCGCGAAAGAGCTGACGCCCCTTACGAGAAACCAAACATCGAACAGGGTGATCACTGCGCCGACCAGACGACGCTGGCCCCGAAGGGAACAACGGCTCAGAAACTGGCACCAATGGTCCACCTCGATCAGCGGAACCCGAAATCCTGGCACAACCCCTCCAAAACTGACGAGAACGACCACTTCGGAGAATCACCAAATCCGCCATAGGACGACAACTAGACGAAGCCGTGTGCAGAAACAGAGACTGCATTCTCTGCAAAGAGCAATGGACAAAACAGAGACGAAAACCTAAGAGCCAGGACCCAAGCGGATTCCAAAGAGAGGGGCGAGCACAGCCTTATGGCACGCGAGGCGAGAAGCAAAAAACAGAGACACTGCTTCCTTCAGGATGGGCGCAAAGAGCTTTAACAGTGCAGCCAACGCCCTAGCTGCCGAAGTCAGCACCCCAGACAAAGGCCCTTCACTCAACGCTCCCACATCTTGAGGTTATCTTGAGATGATTTTGGGGCTTTTAGTGTCCCCGCGGCCCGGTCCTCGACCAGGCCTCCATCCTCCTCAAGCCAAGCAGAAGACAGCTTGAAAAAGGAAAAGAAACGCAAGACCGACGCCAAATGCCCACGGGCGCGCAACTCCTCTGCAACCAACGAAGCCAAAAGCTGAGAAACCTGCACGTGAAGCTGGAAAAGACCAACATCCCGAGAAAGCAAGGGAGCGAACAAGCACGCATTAAGGTGCTCAAACTCGGCCCCCAGGTAAACCTGCAGAAAAGTAGAAGTTTCCCGCCAATCAAGCGTGCAGGTCCAACAGAACCCATGCCACGCCCCCAACGAAAAGAAAGGGCAGTCTGCCAGCCAGGGACTCCGAAACCTCCAAAACGCACTCAAAAATGGGAAGAACCAAACTCAAACGAGGATGGATCCACTGCAGAAGCATAACACGGGTCTCGCAATAGGTGAGCAGACAGAGCTTCCCGAGCCACCTTCGCGGAGATACGGGAAGTAGAAAACCTCTGGAAAGACGGATCTGAGGTACCCAGGAACATTCTCAACTGGAGCACAAGCAGAGAACATGACTTGCAAGACTCCGGGTCAAAGGTGTCGTTGACCCAACAGGCAGCATGACAAAGGCAAAACAGGTGACTGTCGCCCTGAGACAAGGGCACACTGCAACCTTCAAACCCGCACAAGGCAGGCTGGAACTTGGGAGACGCATCCATGGGTCCACCGAGCCTCGACAGGGGTTTCCAGGGCCCATAGGGTAACAACTACGGGAAGCCCGGTCAAGGTGTTGCCAACCGGTTAAAAACAACAAGGGTAGATGATAATACTGAAAACCCCTGGGACATGTACAAGCATGGGGGCCTAGCAGAGGGCCACCAAAACAATATCAGGAGAACTATAGACCCACGAGGCAGAACCTCCACCAGGCAAACAAAAACAAAAAAGAAAAACCCCGCAAAAGTACACCATCCTCAGAAGCAACAGGAACCGGTCGCCGCTTAGGTGGCAGGCTGTGCAACACCTTGACGCTCTAACCAGCACACCACCACTCCCAACCCAAGGCCAAACAAGGGTCCCAAGCCCCAGCTGGCCCCAAGGGCAAGGCAAATGCCGAGCAGCAAGAACCCCTTCTTGAGGTTATCTTGAGATGATTTCGGGGCTTTTAGTGTTCCCGCGGCCCGGTCGTCGACCAGGCCTCCACCCCCAGGAAGCAGCCTGTGACAGCTGACTAACACCCAGGTACCTATTTTACTGCTAGGTAACAGGGGCGTAGGGTGAAAGAAACTCTGCCCATTGTTTCTCGCCGGCACCTGGGATTGAACCCAGGACCACAGGATCACATGTCCCGCGTGCTGTCCGCTCAGCCGACCGGCTCCCCTACGGGAGCGGTTCCCGAACGCCCCAGGGAAGATAACCCTGACACAGGGGGGCAGTACTCACAGGGCGCCTAGGGAAGGAAACCCCTAAGCGCATGCAGCCCCGGCACTGATGAGGTACTCCTGGCCACCGCACACCACACAAAGACAGCAGAGAATGCCACACGAGCCAAACACCGCCCAGGAATTTGAGGCCAGAGAAGTGTCTATCCTGGTTGACACTAGCTTACAAACTGAAGGCAGCCGGCGCGGTGAGGTCCGGGGCCCCCTCCCCTTCCACCTCCTGGGAAGGGGAGGGCTGTGCGGATGACCGCCGCGGCAGTAAATTGATTGATTGGGATTGTAGGGAGTTTCTACCCCTCTGTTCGGTTTTTTGTTGTAGTTTACCATGTGGAGTTTGTTTTGTTATGCCTACCTTTCTGGGTGCCTAACCCCAGTCAATGGCAGATAAGGAAAACCCCCAACCATAATGGGGTTTTCCAGGGCCATTGCTCCCTGAAACCTCTCTGAAGGTGCCAGTTTCTGGCGCTTGTCCCTGGTAGGTCTGAACTCCACAGCTAATGTCCCGGTCTAAAAATAACATACATTAGCCCGATAAGCTCCAGGGAGCCGTAGGGGCTCCCCACAGAAAAGGGGGTAATTAAACAGCAGTGTTGCTCATAGAAGAAGAGCATCAGTGGAGTACCCAGAGCTCAAGAGCAAAAAAAAATCCACAAAGACAAGGAACATCTAATATAGAAAGAGCGCAGCTAGTTGAACCACCCAAAACCTAAAGTCCATAAAACAGCTTTAGATATACCTGTACTGTATTAGTAAGGAACCAGTGTGTCAAACTGCCATATATTATGGGAAAATGAGTAGACAGAAGATTGGCTGAATTGAACAATCTTCAGGATGACCTGGTAGACAAGGGTCATGCAGCAATGAACAAGGGGACACTAGATTAACAAATTAAGCATACATTCAAGCAGTGTAAGTCATGCAGAGATAACACCACATTGTAGGAACACAGCAGGGGGGGTATGGTGAACCAAGCATCAATGACCAGAGGTCTTCTCAAGGATTGTGGAAGACACGTTCTTAGATAAAAATGACAACTGAAAAAGAGAATGATCATCAGGAACAAAGAAACAGAAACAACACTTCCAGAGAAGAGCAGGAAGGGTCAACCCAACTGCAGATTGCTAAATCCAACAAAACAATCACCTTAAAGAAAAACAAATTCAAGAGACTTGAAGACAAGAAAATAAAATTGGCAAGGCCGATCCAGAAACTGAAAGAGTTCAGGAGGAGCACAAACCAGTTGGAAGTGAAAAAAAAAACCTGAGAATTTGAGAAATGAGGGAAAATAATGTATCGACCCCAAGTGTGAGCAAGCACTCTGTCAGCCAAACATTATAGGGCAATAGTATTAGGCATCAGACAACAATCTAGATTGTCAGGGGAAGAAATTATATTACTACTGCCTCCTAAACAAAAGACAATATGGAAAGGAAAAGGCTCACCAGGTTACCTGACACTGTCACTTCAAGAAAAAGCAAATGCAAATGCACGGCAGAGTTGTGCATTTGGTTCTGCAACTATACTCTAAATTGGTTCTGCAAATGCACAGAAAGTACTCTAATCTTGCCAAAATGCAGAACAGCAGTTGGATCAGAGGAATGAGATAGCAAGAAATGAAATGTGCCCGATTCCAGTCAAGACTAAAGACATTAACCACAAAGGCTTCACAATCAAGAAACTGAACCACATAAATGGCCAGCTGAAGATTTCACACAAGATCTACCTAAGAGTGGACAAACACACTCACCTAAATGCATTTGCAGGCTATGAGCTATGGCTTTAAGTTCCAGTTATTAAGCTTAATTGACTGGTGTATATATTCCAGAGCCTATTGGGCTCTGGACAGAGCCCAATAGGCTCTGGAATCTATACACCAGTCAATTAAGCTTAATAACTGGAACTTAAAGCCATATCTCATAGCAATAGCTCCGTCACATCTACATTTAAGTGTGTGTGTGAAGTTTGCCTCCATCGCTTCCCTTCTTAGGAAGTGATGGCATAAGGAACCTTCATGGGAAATTGACCAGTTCCTGATCATTTTGTGTAACTCTGTGCCCAGATTCTGGTTAGTGCGTGTAACTGAGGCTTAGTTCAACATGAAGGCAATAGCAGTACCAATACTTAAGCTCTGGGGTGCTACCAAGAAACTCTACCTAGAAATTTAATTTTGAACTTCATTTCAACCCCTCAGTGGAAACAAAAGTAAGATGAATAGCAGCAAAAGGATTAAACAATATGATAGAAGACAAAGTTGCAGTCTTATCAAGAGAAATCAACAAATAAAAAAGTTCCATATTTTTAAAGAAAGTTGTGTATTACCTGGAGGTTGATTATTATTGTTGATAATGGCAGCATTTACAGCATTGTTGTCTAAAGACATAGAACGTGTCCTCTCAAGATTAGAGGGTAGATCATTCAATCGCAATGACAACTGCCGCTTGAATGGTGACTGAAATAGAATAAACGTTTTAAAATACAAAACTTTCCAAAATATGCAAAATACTGCATCATTTTTAAATTATTCAAGTTTTGTTTGGTAATTACATTTTTTGTTCACTACTAATAATAATAATAATAAAAATAATATTAAGCTATGAATATAGTACACCTCTTAATACAAACTCTTAATAGTAAGAGAAAATGTCAGCAAATTCAAAGCTATGCAGTAAGCTAAACCTGTACATCAGAAATTAATGTCAGCTGTAACTCTAAACATCCCACTCATGCAATGTCCCTAGAGGTCTCAGTCGATCAGTTGCTAAGGAGCAACTGATCGACCGAGTGAAACCCTCTTGCATCACAACAATAAAGATATTGGAAAACCAGCAGAAGCCACGAACAGGATTTGAATCCACTTTATACTCCCAAGCCAGCGCTCTAGACTGCCATGACATGGTCAAAAGTAATGCAACCTAGGATTCCACTGAATCCTCTTGGGTTCCTGAGGCTTACAACCAAAACACAATCAGGGTTTTAAGCATTGTCCCCATGCACTCCGACTTATGGTCCAGTAGTTCTCCTCCAACAAATGCACAATGAAATCACATTAACGTTATGTATCAATGAATAAATCAGGAGCCATGAGGATTCAAACCCACTCACTCGGTACTATTAGCCAGAGTGCATGGGGATGGAGGGGCCAATGCTTTAAACCCTGATTGGACTTTAAGCCTCAAGAATCCTAGAGGGTTCAGTGGAATCTCAGGTTGCATTGCTTTTGACCATGTTGAGGCATGGTGGTGTAGGGCGCTACCTTGGGAGTACCAAGTGAGTGGGGTCGAATCCTCCTCATGGCTCCTACCGATTTTTTCACACATACATCAAATTAATGTAATTTCATTGTGTGGAATAAAGATATTAACACAATCTTCAAAAAAGTACACAATATACTTTGAAAGCATAACCAGTGACACCCTTTGTAAAAGATTAAGGGCATTTGTTAACCCTGACAGGGCCTGACAGTTGAGTGGACAGCACTTTGGATTCGAAGTCCTGAGGTTCTGGGTGTGATCCCAGGTGAAGGCAGAAGCAACTGGGCAGTTTCTTTCATCTTGATGCCCCTGTTACCTAGCAGTAAATAGGTACCTGGGAGTTAGACAGTTGCTACGGGCTGCTTCCTGGGTGTGTGTAACAAAAAGGAGGACTGGTCGAGGACCGGGCTGCAGGGACACTAAGCCCCGAAATCATCAAGATAAAGCAATGCACCAGGCGACATGTTACCAGGTGTGGTGGTGCACCAGCCGACACGTGATTATATTAGTATAGTATATCACAAGATTCGAAACTCCTATGCATAAAAGGGGGCTCACATTTGCTTCCTCAGGTCTCCAGTAACCATTCCCAATCTTACACAAAAATCCTAAATCCCTCACTTTCCTTCCATGGCCTTAGTAATGTGGATTACATTACTAAGGCTTACGTAATGTGGACTACATTACTAAGGCCTATGTAATGTTCCTAAGGCCATGGTCTTAGGAACATAGAGAGCAGCCATACTATGAGCCACTGAAATTTTGTATCATCATCAAGTGTGTGATTACCATTATATATTTCGGGCAAAATGTGTGCCATGTCCAATTATAAGATTTAGGCTTATATATACAGTACAGTATACATTAGAATGAATCAATGGTGTGCATATATTTATAAACACATCTGTATATACAATACTGAGTATGTATGTTTTCAAAGTTATACATAATGAACATCCATCTTTGACACATAGATGCAACTTGTTAGAAGAAAAACTCAATAAATAATGTTTTTTGAACAATTTTTGTTTGGTGAACCACGGTAATGTCATTTTAAAAGGTGTGTAGTGCAGGAGTTAAGAGCAGGATCAACACTTTAAAAACACTACTGTTACCTGGCTGAGATGCTGGAATACCCTAAAGGAACCTTGACGCTGCAGCATAAGGGGTGTAGCATGCGGCCTTGCAATGGCATGTGGATTTTCAACCTTTTTGACGGGTACGGGTTCTGAAAAGTAATACAATCTAGAATGTACAGGTACTGTATTAACTTGTGTAGCTACAAATACTGGTACACTAATATATTATATTTTGGTCTCTGTCTGTCTCATATACCATACATAGTGAAATGGGGGAATGAGGAGGATCAAAACAAGGAAAGAGGAAGAGGGAGGAAAATGGGCAAGGTGAGGTGAGGAAGAGCAAGAAGCAAAGACAGAATGAGTGAGGAGGGAGTAAGATGAAAGCGAGAACATGGGAAGGAGGATATGGCAGAGGAGGTAGAAACAGAAAAAAAAGATAAAGGAAAGAAAGGAAGGGAAGACAATACTTGGCTAGTTAATAATCACAAAATCATTATACACCATCATAAGAAAAAATTTACTAACCAATAGGTTTACATTCCTGAGGGTCGGACAACCTCTCTGTGACGGTCATTTGTCGGAAGGAGCCAGAGCGGGTAAATGTGGATGTGGTGGGATCAAATGACATGGTAACCCCACACTCCTTATCTCTCTTTTGCTTGCGCTCCAGGCAGGCGGCAAAAGCACAACCAACTGCATGACTCAATCTCTCACCCTGAACAAAAATATATAAAAAATAAACCACAATATTAAAAACTATTAAAAGCAATTAGTTACAGTATACAGTTTACCTATGCCCTCTAGAAACATTTTTCCCTAGGAGTGACCTTATGTTAACCCTCCTCTATATTTCATTAGATGCCCTTAAGTGATGACTCTTGAAAGAACTGTTCACCACAGAAGTTCACATGCTTTCTTAGCTTCACATCAGTGAACCCATTATCACATTCCTACAGTACAAGAACAAGAAATGCACACCACCTCTACAGTACAAGACCAGTCCAGTGATGGAAACCACAGAAACAACCACTATGTTGAGCTGTACTGTTAATGCAGTCAATAGGTAACGGTAAATTACTATTTTACACAATACAAATCTTACATATCATATTGTATATCATATTGTGTTGCATATCTTACATATTAAATATCTTGCACAGTATACAACACTATGGTACACATAGAAATCACAATAACGTGATATATCAAATGAATAAAGCCACAAAGGCCGTGATGAAGGAACATCCCGTGCGTAGGTTCGAACCCTCGTCACGGCCCTTGAGGATTTGTTCAACACTATAGTGTTAAGTCTGATATATAACTTCAACTACAGCAGTGAATGATTAATATTACCACATCAAAGAGGGTAAACTTATTTAAATACTACATGTATTTTATGCTACTTTAGTCACAACTAAAAATGAAACAAAAATAGCAAAATACATGAATTATATAAGTGGATATTCAGCTTACTCTAATAGCTTAATTTTCAATTGTAAAAAATTACTAAATGCATCACTATTTTCACAGGTTCAAGTGATATATCCAAGATAGCATTTTATTCTTACACTTTATTCTAAACAACTTCTGAAGAAATATACAGGTACTGTATTATAAAGCTTTCTTCGTTATATAATAATTTGATACAATAAACTTTGATGCAATAATTAAAGAAAAACAAATCTTAATTTTAGGAAAAAACAAAAAAAGTTAGTAAACAGCTAAACATTTATCACACGAGCTCGAACACAAATTCAACATACCGTTTCCTTAACAGCAACAAAACCATGGCACATCCATCGCCTTGTAGTTCCATCTCGACATATATATGAGAATCCTTTTTCATGATTTCTATCGGGCGCACAAAAAGACACCTTCTCTATCGTTTGGTCTACAATCAGTCCCTGGAAAATATATAAAGTGATATATTGTACATAATACAGTGGATGCTGTTAAAGTGAATAATACTTCAAAATGAATATAATTCCTCTGTTCCTGTGCAAAAGAAGAGCAGTAAGAAGAATATCTGGACGACTGCATAATTACATAATAAATGTGCTGTAAAATCAAACTGAATGGTATATGGATGATGGCTCTCAAAAATATACAGGTTGAAAGAACATGCCAAGAAACTAAGAGTTGGCCCCAACAAGCAAAGAAGTCGATAGTGATCGTGGAGTAAGGAAAACTGGCAAGATGAATATCAATGACATGTTGGATAAACAAAGAATGCTTGGTTAAGAATGTTGTGTGGGTATGTAGTGTTGTGCAAGCTGGGAGAAGAGTGAAGGAGTGCTTGATAAGTCATACGAGGCAAAATAGCTTTATGATAAAGTGAATTAAGTAGATACAGTACAGTGTATTGTCAATAAAATAACAAAAAGGAGAAAGGGATAAAACAAAATGAATGAGTAGCCGAGAAAAAATAAATTCAGAAAACCTGAAGCCATTTTGGAAAGAATGCAAGTGTAAGGAGAAAATAAAAAGATTAATGCAAAATCCCATAGGAATAGTGATAAGAACTGGAGGATGATAACTAGTGACAAACAAATTAGAAGTTGCAGGCAATAATCTGGTAGATGGATTTGATGAGATGCAGTTAAGAAAATTAAATGTAATGGAAAAATAGCACTTTTATGCTTGCCTATCAGTGACTACAGGGAATGAGGTTAAGTTCACTATTCCCCAACTACTAGCTGTTTGTATATGGTGTATTGTAAAATCTTGGCATTCTTCTTCTATGTTGTGTATGCTTTAGAAGTTGTGGATCAAAGCATCCAAGTACAGTACAGTACAAATACTTCCTTACATTTCTACTTCACACGTCTGTTTCCAACTGTCACTACAGCCCTTTTGTTCAATATTCTCTGAATTTAAAGATGATGTTCTTGTCCATCTTATTTATTCCTCTCAATATCTTGCATATTGTGATCATATCCCAACTGCTATCTCCTTGGATATTGGGTTCAATTTTCTTAATCTATCACTACAGCATAATCTTCTTAATTCAGATACTTTGCTTCATTCTAAAAATCTATACTTTTTCGAGTTGCTTTTTGTGCTTCACAAGGTACAGATTCCATGATGTGGCATCTTCACCTACTAATCTAACAATGGTCATAAACAAGCCCTTGTTCAGATTCCTGAATACCAATTTAATGTTTGTCGGCTAACCATGTGCAGTTGAAGTTATCCTGTTTGCGTCCACTTCCAGTCTTGGTGCTGGTGCCATGTTCTCTTAAGTATCTAACTCTTGCAATGTAGTAAGTTGCCTTCCGCTTTTTGTGAGATTCCTGTTGGTATCCTTTCCCTCTTTCCCACCTTCATTACCTTAAACTTGTTGGGGTTAACAACCCCAGGTCTGCCCACTGCTGGAGTTTGTCAAAGTTGTCGCAGAAATGTCCAGTCTTATTACATTTCTACTTTCCTCATAAATTTAGCAATAGCAATGGGCCTAGGATTGGTCCTTGGCTACCCTGCTTGCTACATTCCTCCAGCCCAACATTTCCTCTCTGACATGCCGACTCTGACATTTCCTCTCTTTCCTCATGACCCTCTGTTTCCTGCCTGTCAAGTGCTCCCTTGTCCAGTTTAGAACCTTGCCAGCTGTGTGAGAGTAGTTCTTTCTCAGCCAAATGTGCACACTTGTAGTTGCAGTATGCTGTGCACTTAACTTTACATTATGCATAATTATCATTACCTCATCTCAGGTTAGAGTACTACTGTGTTGATGTCCCTGGATAGCAAATCATATTTGCAGCTCAGATAAAGTCAACAGTTATATGATGTTTGGTTATATGACGGGATGATGGAATCTTTATTTGTTGTGTATATCATGGCCATTTTAGATAGTGTAAGTTACAGCACAAGGTGAACTAGCTGCAAGCAGTCAGGTGTGCACTTCCTCCTCTAACCAAACTGGGAAAGCACTACTTTCATACTCCTGGTGACATCATGTGAACCTTGGAAAGACCAATTAGATTATAGGCCAAGGTACAAGCTACATTTTAAGTGGTGTATCCATAGAGGTTCAATGAAGTGACCGAGGGAGGCTTCAGCCATGTGTGACCATAGCAACTCATCCGCTCCTTGGTGACGGCACTTGCTAGACATGCTTGACCTTTCTTAACCTAAGACCATGTGGCAAGTAGTACCAAGTACATTAAGATTGTTGAGGCATTAGCGAGCATAGCTGTGGCTCAGTTGATAGGCACACTGATGTGCCCCTTTTGTAGAGCCAAGATCATTCAATTAAGTTAATCCATGGAAGCAGCAGCATCATTTTCCAGTAATTTTCCTCCTGCTGTCTTACCAAGACCACAAGCAGTGGAGAATAAATTATCACAGTGTTGAAGCCATTTGTGGTCACTGCAACAGCGAAGCATGTGATGAGTGTGTGCAATTACCTAAGTGTAGTTACAGGATGAGAGCTAGGCATGTGTTGTCCTGATGTTCAATTAAAGTACTGTACTGTACTTAAAATTTCATTGTGTAACATTTTACAGAGATGAAACATTTTACACATTTTACAAAGCTGCAGTACAGTACCCTGTACTGTATCTCTGTACTGGTACAAATTTCCTTATACTGTACCTTCATTATATTTTACAAAATTTGCCATACACCTCATTTGCTTTCTTTCCTAACAATAAATCTTTTGAATCAAATTTATTAAAGAACTTACAGTACCTGGAGAGGGTTTTGGGAGTCATACCTGGCCCCAAACCCAGCCTGGGGCCAGGCACACATGTTCACTAACTTGTTGTGTATGCAAATTAATGATCCGAGTATCTTATTGGAGCTCCTGTGAATCCTTTGAATTACAGCAGCGATAGGTAGCTGTATGGCAATGCACATCTTAGGGGCACTTTAGAAGGCTGAAGTATCATTTGCAAGATGAGCCGTTTAATAGCTTTGTGTACGACACTTCATAGAGTAAAGAGAAATCCCCAAACCATGTGTGTAGAGTTTAACTTACTTTAATTTACATATGGTTGAAGAAGTAATTCCTTCTCCCTCATATAAAATAATTGATCCCAATAAAGGGGACCAATATTCATTCTAGCCATACATTATATAAATATTGACGGAACCACATACAGTACTCTAATTCCCTGCCAAGATACTAGGAAAGATAAGAAACTTAGACAATTGTTATGCCCTTCAAGAAGACCTGGATAAAATAAGAGCATGGAGCAACACTTGGCAAATGGATTTTATTATGAATAAATGACAAGTTATGTGATGCAGGATAGGAGAAAATAGGCCACACATATACAACCTACAAATTATGTGAAAAAGCTCTAAAGAATTCTGATAAAATAAGATGTAGGGTTGATTCTAGAGAGATAACTGTCACCTTAGGAACACATCAAGAACATTGTGCAAGGAGCAAATACAATGATTTCCAACAAATTCTGAAAAGTCATTTCAGAAATGTTTTTAAAGATGTGGACGGCAAAATGCTAAATTGTTCATAACCTTCGTGATACCAAACTGGGATATGCAGTGGTTGCATGGTGCCCATATCTCTAGAAGCACATCAATAAACTGGAAAAGGTGCAATGACATTCGACTAAATGGCTTCTGGGACAGAAATAAAGTTCTACAGAAAACAGTTGGAGGTGTTAAATATATTAAAGCTAGAAGAAAAATATGTGCTATGTTTATATACAAGTGCAACACTGTGTACAAAATATTAACAAATCTACAAGACTGACAAAGAAGAATGTTTGAAAACTGCAACTCTTGTTTTTAATTGGCCAGTAAGTTCCTAATAACTTGTCTGAACTCTTTGGCAATTACCTAATTGTAGTTACAGGATGAGAGCTACGCTCGTGGTGTCCCGTCTACCCAGCACTTTGTCATATAACATGGCAGCACTGTGATGATATTGAATGTTAAAGTTGCCTTGCCTACTGCATTTCATAATTATCAAGATGAGAGTAAAAATTAATGGAGGATGAAGAGATAGAAGGTAACAACCACTATGACACTATGCTGCTTGGTTACTATAGTTGAATTCTTAATGCTGAGTCTTTCCCGAGTTTTGACATTCAAACCTTGTTCTTGATACTTTTCCCAATTGTTTAATAGTTTAATTTGTACACATATGCAATGTTAATATTCCTCATTTCTATGAATATCTTCTTATGTACACTTTCATTTTCAATTTGATGGATTCTCCTTCCCATCTCTGATGAGCCACCAACACTTTTCTTCTTGGTACAACAGGCTTTTGCTTGGAGCGGCCAGCAGGCCCACGTACCCACTATAATCCGGGTGGTTTGGGACTTCTTGTAGGAATGTGTAATTTTTCTTGAAGTCCAGTTTTTTTCCCATAAATATTTCTTATGTTTGCTGAAAGGGTACTGAATAGCTGTGGACCTCAAATGTTCATGCAGTGTTGTGTGATTGTGTATGATACCCAGTCCTCTGGTCATTTCCATCCACTACTGTATCCTTATTACACATGTATTACAAAACTAACTTTACTGTTTTCTTTAGGAATATTGTTGTACCTTTCTGCTTGCCTTTATTTCACAGGAATATGGCCTCTAGATTACTTCCAAGTCTTAAGAAAACTATGGAGCCTTCACCAGCCTCCCTTCCTGAAGATGATGCCAGATGATTAGAAAAAAAATGAGAGATGTGATGGTATTACTGTATTAAAAAAAAATGACTGACAAATATAAGAAATATAGCTACATTAATAAAAAAATTGTACAATAGTAGGAAAAAAGGGATTAGAAAAGTAGAGCAAGCGAGTCAAGGGAAACTAGCGATGTGTATTTACAGAGTTGGTAGAAATGCTATGAAGTGTGTTCATTCAGGAGCAAAGCATGTGTGTTAACAGTGTAATGAGTGCTTCAATTTATATTTATGTAGGAGTATGGCAAAAATTGTGTAATGTCTCCCATGATTGCTCAGTGTATGTGGATGGAGCAATGAGGTGAAGGTAAGAATACAGAATACTAAAGAAGGTTGTGAAATTAGTACAGTATGGAATATGATCAGAATAAGTGGAGTACTGTACACTGTTGAATGCAGATGATGCAGTTCTATTAGAGAATGTCAGATACAATCTAACTAAATTAGTTTATGAAAATTGTGTGGGACTGTTATAAGCCTTTTTTAGGTCTAGATTGTCTGTGACTGTGCTTGTTCTTCATGATGCTGCTTGCATCAAATTTAGTTGATGTATGTAAGTGGACGAGACAGAAGAAATCATCATGAAGATAACCGAGAAATTAGGTTAAAGGGGAAAAATTATAAAAACAGTTGATTAACGTAAATACCTTGTGTATTACCGACAGGAGGAATTTGTGCAAGTCAAATTATTAGCAGAATAAGTTAGGGAAGAAAAAATCTTGTGCAATATTGAGCCCTATTTAGGAAAATAAGACAAGGACATGCATTTAAAAGGCAGCACAGCAGTAATGTGTACACTTGTTTACATCTAAAACATGTTAGCACAACTCAAGCATGAAAAATCTGTTATGAGCAGTAGAAAGCATGTGTTTTATTAGAAGAACAATAGAAAACTAAAAGTTAATGTCATGTAGACATGCACTATGCAAAAGTTATAAACGGTAAGACGGTTTAATCATATTTGTTTTAATAAATATATGATTATAGTGTGAAAAAAGAGAGACTATTCAAGGGAATTAGAGATAGAAAGAGGGGAAAATCCAAGATAATGGCAGATATGGAGTGTAATGACCCAGGTGCAGTTAAAGGATGAGGATGGTGTCCTGTCTTGCCAGTACCCTCTCATATGGTGGGTCTATGAGGAATTGTGTGGGACTGTCACAAGCCTTGTTCATGTCCAGATAGTATGTGACTGCTTGCTCTTTTATGATGCAGTGTGCATGAAAGCTGGGATGAATGAATATAATTTCCATCATCTTTAACCTCCTTTACCTTTATAGCTCTCCCACCTCATGAATATGAGAAATGGGGTAATAATGATGATGGAGACTACCCTAAGAAATGCCAATCTTTAAAAACTTCATAGAAGAGTACTAATAAATTGATTATAACCTACCTTTGTTTCATCATCTACTACACGAAGTCCGTCACCCGATACGTAGAGCATACCTCTAATAGGTCTTCGGCGAGAATTCTGCAAATTAATGATTCTCTATTATAAAGCTGTGAATGATAAATGCCACTCAAAAATACTGTATCAAAGGACTATCACTGAACATTATACAGAACTAAAAGTAAAAAATATTGTACCTAAAGTGTCACAAAAAAAGTCATTAAATATTGTTTTAAATTAAAATAGCGAGTGTTTCCCAGCTCAGTCTGGAGTGTGAGCAACGTATAAATTAATCAAACTTTTTTACCAATATATAATTTCATATATCCCTGATAGATATATATACCACACTCTTGATCTCAACTCTCACCCCAGGTCTTACATATATACAAAAATTGACAGCATTGAGCACTTCCCGTAACGTGATCGACTGTACTGTACTCGCAAAAACTTACATTTCATTACCTCTATAATTCTTCACCGTATTCCTCATCTCACTGGACAATCGCTTTTTTGCATTAGCACAATATTTTAATAACATTATTAAAGATATTTACCCTGAGTACCTTTAGAGCTTCTTCACACACTTGCATCCCTCGTGACTCGAAGACTTCTACACAACCTAGATACTGAAATTAGATAATGTTTTATTCAGTAATTAATACATCATAAGTCAACATTTAATTTTTATAATATGTAAAGAATTTTAAACAGTACAATATTATACACTAGCAATCATAATGCATGTTTAGTTTGGTTATGAAGAGATTCATTTCACCATTCAAAATAACAAAATACTGAAAGAAATTAGTCAAAAGTTTTGGAGGTACAGACAGCTACTTGGTTTGCTAACTTAAGTTATCTGAATGTTCCAGTTTCCCGATTGGGGTTGGGGTTTCACAATACAGTACATGAACTAAGTTCGGGTGAGGAAGCAGTCCGCCAAGCCTCGTGCCGGCCGCGGGTCGTGGGTGGGATTTAGATGGCCTAGTTTGCCCATTGACTGTGTCGGGCACCACCACTTTAGAGTGCCTTCTACCCCGTGATGTCACTGATTCACGGCCTATTGTTCCCATTGTTTTGATTTGTCACGAAGCTAGAGTGTTCATTCCGTGACTTTGTTTTACATATCTGCACAATCAAGGAACATCTGTGTACCATGTCTTAAAGCATCTTTTACAAAGGCTTCCAAGAACGCTGGTATTGCCTCACCTGCACCTGACTCATCACATGTTGACCCAAATGTGTCAACATCTGAGGTTACCTTATCACCATTAATCCCACTTCAGTCAACCCAACATCATCATCCACCACCACCACCTCTTCCATGTAAATAACTATGCTACATCAACAATGATCATCAACATAACAAGTGGATCAGGACTCCTCTTATTGGTGAGTACAAACAAAATACTGTTGCATTTATGCTATGAATCTGTCGATTTTTTCCCCGACATTTCTCATCTTTTTTTTTCTACATTTCCGTTTTTTTTTTCCTCCATTTCTCTTTCACGAACTTACATGATAACCGACAGGTCTCGTCCCCAAGGGGTTCGCAAACCAAGTGGTCCTCTGTAACGGCCATTATTTTAGTTACAGTATTACAAAATCATCATTTAAAATTTAGTAAATATTTAACCTAATAATGATGGACTGGCACTTGTCTGCCAAACATAGTAACTACAGAAATAGGATTAGTGAAGAGCCATATTCTTTTATTAAGTCTTGGGGTATACTATAAATCTTAGGGTATACCAACCTGCACAATTCTCTTAGCCCCAAGTCACCATGTGACTTTCTTAAAATTTAAAACTCAGCGTTGATTGTAATGTAATGCCTCTGTCTAGTAAAGCCCAGGTGGCACCCTGAACCTATCTTGCTGAGATTGCTCCATTCTAAAGGGTTGCATCAATCAAATGAGTTCTGATAAACCAGGCTGTGTTTCATACATCAGGCTGGGAGCAGCTACATCCAACAGTCTGATTGACCAAAGGACCAACCAGGATGCCTGGTCAGAGACTGGGCCGTGGGAATGTAAGTTCTTGGAGCCAGTGCAAGATATTCACAAGGAAAGGTACTGGCAACCCGAGCCAAAATCTGGCCCCCCTCACAGAGGCGCACCAAGCAAGAAAGAATCCACCACATCACAGTGTTCAAGAGAGAACTTGACAAATACCTCCAAAAAATAACTGATCACCAAGCTGTGACTCATATGTCAGGCTGCAAGCAGCCGCATCCAACAGCCTGGTTGACCAGTCCAGCAACAAGGAAGCTTGGTCGACAACCGGGCCACGGGAATGCTAAGCTCCGAAATCAACTCATTGTAACATCACTGGGAAAAGGATACAGAGTCAACAACACTTTATGGACAACTGTAACATTCACATAAAATAAAGCCTCTAATCTGGCTCAAACACGTTAACACTAATAGCCACCACCAGGCAGCCCGGCTCCACCCTACAGCCAGCTACCTGATCAGTTCAAGATCTGATGAACAACCTACTGGCAAACCTTGAACAGAAGGGATGAAATCAGGGAGCCACCAGGGCTTTACCATAAAGAGGCATTCATTACATTTAACACTGGGGAGCTGTGTGATGGCTCCCTGAAGCTAACTAATTATAGAGAACAAAAACACAGGACTAGCCAAATGGCAGCATTCAGAAAGAATGCTGCCAAAGCAAGATACTTGAGAACATTACAGGCCTGAGGGCAGACTGCATGCTGGTTAGACTTAGTGACACTGCAGTCTCTCTTCGGGATTGGGAACAACCGGCACACCCAGGACCAAAGTCGTTTCAACCATGCTCAGAGTCAAGCCAACCTGCAATGGCCAAACACAGGGAGGAATCCTGAACCATGCCCTAACCTAACCCCATGAGAGGAGGAGGGACAAATCAACTCCACTACAGGCTGAGGGAGGATACCCAAATAGCCCACAAATCTTGGGACCAGAAGCTAGCAAAATGCACCAGATACCCATTTTGCCAGCTCCTGTTACAGATACCACTGTGTGGTATCCATGCTATCCTAAGCTCCCCTGCTTCTGAGGAGGCAAGATTCTGGGTCTTTATCTCTGGTAGACCATAAGAAAGTATGAAATGCCTGGTGAAATTGTATTAGCCCTAGAGTACAAGTGCATAAGCTGTGGGGAAGCCAATGTGGGGCCAGCCCTCAGAAAGGAGCTTTTCATTATACACAATATAGTTAGTACTGTAATGGTAATGTCTTCTCACAGACATAATAACATAGGATAAAAACCCACACTTGTGTATTTGTGAATTTTATGTAAGAAATTTACACCAAGTCCTTGCACTCTCCCGAGTGCTTTCTCAAGTTCCGAGTGTGTGGTTAGGACGAGACTTACATCTCAACGTCTAATCTTGATTAGACGTTGAGATGCAAGTCTCGTCCTAACCACACACTCAGACCTTGACAAAGCACTCAGGAGAGTGTGAAAGACTTTGTGTAAATTTCTTACATAAATGTCACACACACACACACACACACATGTTGGTGTGTGACATCCTACTCAATATAGTAACTGCCCGAAACGCTTTGCGTAATAGTGGCTTTAGGCATTGTATGTACTAGCTCTATCTATAAAGCCAACAAACTTTGTAAAATTTCTTTATGTATGTACCTTTGCCTAAATAAAAATTATTATTATTATTATTATAGTACTATATTTGTTATTCAAGAAATAATGGAATGCGGTGTACATGCAAGAGTACTATTAGTAACAATCATGTATTACATGTGTCACAACCACAAAGTTGAGCTAAACTTTCCCAATAAAGATGGTAATTCCCCATCTTTTATCTAATTTTAATGACCTGTAACCCAGTTAAGTGACCTTTTGTCAGTTAAATTCATATTATGACTTTAGCCGACTCAACACACACAATTTTTACTGAACAACTTGTCAAACAAAATAGTCTTTAAAACATCCAGACTACTCTAGGAATTACATGAAACATGTTTATGCAAAAAGGCTACTTTAGCATTTACTAGTTTATTTAAAGTACACGTTATAATTTACAGAAACTCACATCTTGAGGGTTATATGCATTTTCTTTATTTTTTTAAATTACTGAGGATTATCAGGAGTTAGTAAAATTACAATACATACATTATATACAAGTTTGATAACTTAACCCAATATTTTCAAGATTTCTCAAGTTAAGAGAACTGGTATTTTGGCTCTGTGACTATTTGATAAATCCTTTAAAAAAAAATTCAAGTGTGGTTTGGTCAACAAACTTTAATTGAATTTAAGATAGACTACTGACTGACATGGCATGGAATTGACATATTAAGAAAAATAATGTGGCATTTGCATACCTTGACAGGAAAAGAGCATGTGCCAGCTCTAACAGATGCTTCATCAGTCTGCCACTGGTGAGGCTTGGATGCCTCCGTCACATGGTGATCCTTCTTCTTTCGAAAACTCTCTCTGAAGCTCCGCCGAAGCCGATCCATCTTTCGTCCCCGTGATCCACTTGGTCCCTCAACCTGCAACATGTATCCCTCATTAGTTTGCTGTATAGTTACACATCACAAATAGATGTGCAGTCACACATGTTTACCTGTGAATATGGGTTATGATTAACATTTACTTGCAATATGGTAGGTGATTATATGTGATTTATTTGCAATATGATATGTGTAAGAGAGCAGGGTAGTAATTGCCTAAGTTACCTAACTTGTGGGATGGATTTTGTCTTAAGCTTGATGTGAAGACTTTCCATATTCATAATAATGAATAACAACAGTAAGAGTAATGCTAACAATAATAAGCCATTTATAAAAAAGCAAAATTTAATTAAACAATAAATTAGTAGGTGACTCATATATAAAGCCACTACATCACATGCAGCATTTTGAACATTGGGGTTATATTGACGAGCATCTACGTACAATACGATACTGTATGTTCTAAGACACACATTCCAAACATGAATTATTATCTGGCTCCAGGAGAAAAAATGCATAAATTTACAACTTTTTGGGGTATCATTAGCAACTCTGATTACTGCTATTATCCTCAGTCATCAGGTCCATGTGTAATTACTTAAGTGTAGTTACAGGATGAGAGCTATACTCGTGGTGTCCCGTCTTTCCAGAACTCTTGTCATACAATGCTATGAAACTATAGTACTGACGGTTTTGGCCTCCACCATCTACTCAGATTATTCCAACTGTCTACCACTTTGTTTGCAAAAGTGAACTTTAACGTTAAAAAACTTTTTTTCCCAGTAGCTTTGTTTCCTTTGAGTGAATCTGTGGCCTCTCGTTTTTCAAGAAACAGGTTCCAAGAATAATTCTTTGTCAGTATTGTCGATTCTTGTTACTATTCTATATACAGTGATCATATCACCTCTTCTGTGAATAAACTGGTGCAGGGACCTGACGGCTAAGTGGACAGCACTCTGGACTCTTAGTCCTAAGGTTCCAGGTTCGATCCACGGCAGAGGCGGAATAAATGGGAAGTTTCTTTTACCCTGATGCTCCTGTTCACCTAGCAGTAAACAGGTACCTCGTATTTAGATAGCTGCTACGGGTTGCTTCCTGGAGATGTGTAACAAGAAGCAGGCCTGGTTGAGGACTTGGCCGCGGGGACGCTGAGCCCCGAAATCATCTCATAACCTCAGGTAGGAAAACTCAATTTTTGATACATTGCCTAAGATTAACACCCTTACCCACTCCCTCCAAGGATATTTAAATACATATAAAATCTATCACCAGGGAATTATATTTAAGACAAACCATGAGGGAAAGAGAGGTTGGGAATTGGAGTGGGGTAAAGATGACACACAGGGGGTGGGGTAAAGCAGATGACACACAGGGGGCAGAGTAAAGATAACACACAGGGGGTGGGATAAAGAAGACGACACACAGGGGGCGGGGTAAAGACGACGACACACAGGGGGCGGGGTAAAGACGACGACACACAGGGGGCGGGGTAAAGAAGACGACACACAGGGGGCGGGGTAAAGAAGACGACACACAGGGGGCGGGGTAAAGAAGACGACACACAGGGGGCGGGGTAAAGAAGACGACACACAGGGGGCGGGGTAAAGAAGACGACACACAGGGGGCGGGGTAAAGAAGACGACACACAGGGGGCGGGGTAAAGAAGACGACACACAGGGGGCGGGGTAAAGAAGACGACACACAGGGGGCGGGGTAAAGATGACGACACACAGGGGGCGGGGTAAAGATGACGAGACACAGGGGGCGGGGTAAAGATGACGACACACAGGGGGCGGGGTAAAGATGACGACACACAGGGGGCGGGGTAAAGATGACGACACACAGGGGGCGGGGTAAAGATGACGACACACAGGGGGCGGGGTAAAGATGACGACACACAGGGGGCGGGGTAAAGATGACGACACACAGGGGGCGGGGTGAAGATGACGACACACAGGGGGCGGGGTGAAGATGACGACACACAGGGGGCGGGGTGAAGATGACACACAGGGGGCGGGGTGAAGAAGACGACACACAGGGGGCGGGGTGAAGAAGATGACACACAGGGGGCGGGGTGAAGAAGACGACACACAGGGGGCGGGGTGAAGAAGACGACACACAGGGGGCGGGGTGAAGAAGACGACACACAGGGGGCGGGGTGAAGAAGACGACACACAGGGGGCGGGGTGAAGAAGACGACACACAGGGGGGGCGGGGTAAAGAAGACGACACACAGGGGGCGGGGTAAAGAAGACGACACACAGGGGGCGGGGTAAAGACGACGACACACAGGGGGCGGGGTAAAGACGACGACACACAGGGGGCGGGGTAAAGACGACGACACACAGGGGGCGGGGGTAAAGACGACGACACACAGGGGGCGGGGTAAAGAAGACGACACACAGGGGGCGGGGTAAAGACGACGACACACAGGGGCGGGGTAAAGACGACGACACACAGGGGGCGGGGTAAAGATGACGACACACAGGGGGCGGGGTAAAGATGACGACACACAGGGGGCGGGGTAAAGATGACGACACACAGGGGGCGGGGTAAAGACGACGACACACAGGGGGCGGGGTAAAGACGACGACACACAGGGGGCGGGGTAAAGACGACGACACACAGGGGGCGGGGTAAAGAAGACGACACACAGGGGGCGGGGTAAAGAAGACGACACACAGGGGGCGGGGTGAAAGAAGACGACACACAGGGGGCGGGGTGAAGACGACGACACACAGGGGGCGGGGTGAAGAAGACGACACAGGGGGCGGGGTGAAGAAGACGACACACAGGGGGCGGGGTGAAGAAGATGACACACAGGGGGCGGGGTGAAGAAGATGACACACAGGGGGCGGGGTGAAGAAGATGACACACAGGGGGCGGGGTAAAGAAGATGACACACAGGGGGCGGGGTGAAGAAGATGACACACAGGGGGCGGGGTGAAGAAGATGACACACAGGGGGCGGGGTAAAGAAGATGACACACAGGGGGCGGGGTGAAGACGATGACACACAGGGGGCGGGGTAAAGACGACGACACACAGGGGGCGGGGTGAAGACGACGACACACAGGGGGCGGGGTAAAGACGATGACACACAGGGGGCGGGGTGAAGACGACGACACACAGGGGGCGGGGTGAAGAAGATGACACACAGGGGGCGGGGTAAAGACGACGACACACAGGGGGCGGGGTAAAGACGACGACACACAGGGGGCGGGGTGAAGACGACGACACACAGGGGGCGGGGTAAAGAAGACGACACACAGGGGGCGGGGTAAAGAAGACGACACACAGGGGGCGGGGTGAAGAAGATGACACACAGGGGGCGGGGTAAAGAAGACGACACACAGGGGGCGGGGTGAAGAAGATGACACACAGGGGGCGGGGTGAAGAAGATGACACAGGGGGCGGGGTGAAGAAGACGACACACAGGGGGCGGGGTGAAGAAGACGACACACAGGGGGCGGGGTGAAGAAGATGACACACAGGGGGCGGGGTAAAGATGATGACACACAGGGGGCGGGGTGAAGATGATGACACACAGGGGGCGGGGTGAAGAAGATGACACACAGGGGGCGGGGTGAAGATGACACACAGGGGGCGGGGTGAAGAAGATGACACACAGGGGCGGGGTGAAGAAGATGACACACAGGGGGCGGGGTAAAGATGACAACACACACTTATACTAGTGTAAAGGAGGAAATGTATATGTTTATCTCTCAGAATGTTCGGTAATACGTTTATTGCTTGTGATGTGTGTGTGTGTGTATGTATTAACACGATGTACTGAACGGGGTGAGAATAGCTTGAGCTACCTCATCCCTTTGTGTGTATTTTACCTCAATAAACTTATTTCAATTTCAATTTTCAATTCACACACACTTATAAATTAAGGAGCCTCGCAGCTGAGTGGACAGTGCTCTGAAGTTTTAGTCCTAAGGGCTCGGGTTCGATCCCGGGCAAAGGCGGAAACAAATGGGCATAGTTTCTTTCACTCTGGTGCCCTGTTCACCTACCAGTAAATAGGGACGTGGGAGGTAAGACAGCTGCTACGGGCTGCTTCCTGGAGATGCGTGTGTGTTAGAGAGATATATGTAGTAGACATAATAGAAGAACAATAGATTGGTTAGAAAGGCGGGGTCCAAGAGCTAATAGCTCGATTCTGCAGACACAAATAGTAAATAGTAAATACACACACTCTTCCTTCCCTATCAGGAAAGGAATCTATCAGGAGAAAGAGCCAAGCCATTACAAGGCCTGGTCAAACTGGGCCACAGGGATATTGATCCCCGGAACCAACAATAAGCAGACCCTAACTTTATGCAGATGAGTGACAATAACGTGACTGAAGAATGTTGACCAGACCACACACTAGATAATGAAAAGACGACGACATTTCGGTCCGTTCTGGACCATTATCAAGTCAACTGTGATGAGTTGAGAGAGGCACGGAAGTAAGGCAAGAGAGCGATCCGTCTAATTACCACAAGCTTCACAAAGCTTCCTGGCAATACGTTAGTAATGAATAAATATGATATGTTAGGTCAGGTCAGGTCAGGTCAGGTCAGCTTAACCTAACCTAACCTAACCTAACTTAACCAAACCTAACCTAACCGACGCATGGATCGTCGACTTGATTTGGCATCACCAGCTCTTTATTTTCGTCTAATTTCTTTATAAAAAGATACTTTTTCTGATGAAAATTATGTTTTTTCGTGTTGTACATTCAGCACCAACATTATAATGAGTAAATATATCATTTATTCATTACTAACGTATTGCCAGGAAGCTTTGTGAAGCTTGTGGTAATTAGACGGACCGGGCAAGAGAGAGGTGATCGCAGAGGGGGGAAAGCTTAGTGGAAGGTAAAACGGTAGAGAAGCCCCCCTCCCCTACTCTATGTCAAACACTTCCCCTTTCCAATCCAAAATGTCCCATGGGAAAGGAACAAAGATGATCATTAAAAAAAATTAAAGGAACAGGGTCCAGTCCAACTGTGAAGAGCTCAGTCCCTCCAGTAATTTTCTCATCCTC